GCTTAGCGTTCTATTGACGAGTCTCTCTTTCTCTCCTGTGCGATGATTGTTGAGTTTTCTGTGCTGGTGACCATCTTATTAACTGTTAAATCTTGTTGTTTTAGTCATCTGCATATAAGATTATTGTGCTATTTATTTAATCTGCAAGTAAAATTTTAATGATGTTGTCTCGTTTTAGACGATTCAAGACAATGAGTAATGTTGAATTTTGATTTCTTGGCGTTTCTTAGAATAGCATAAATTTCGTGTCTACGATTTTCTCCTACAGATATGGGAAGGTTTTGAGCCGCCAATTCTAGATTGGCCACTATGTCAACTGTTGGTAGTTTATTGAGTGGGGTGGCGAAGTTCAGGCCCAAGTTAAGTATTTTGTTTTCAATATCGGTGAGGACTATGGAACTGAAATTGTGTACTACAGTGGTGGTCTTAGATACATCCTTGTTTATTTTGATGTTATCCAGGTTCATTGTGTAGCGTGTGAAATAATGGTTTAAGATGTCCACACCTCTTACAGTAGCTGCAAATATTTCCTAAAATTGAGACTTGGTGTTCTTGAGTATTCTTCCTTTTTGTTTTTTTATTTAGATTTGATCGTAGCTGGTTTCTGCCGGCTTCGTCAAGTAGTTTTGGCATTTTCATTTTGTGAAAGAAGGATGTTTCTGGAACTTTGGGATAATGCTCCAATTCCTGCAGCGTAGTAAGTAGGTTAGGTGATTCGAACAGTGTGCAAATTTGTTTAAATTTATGTTGTAATCTTTTCCATCCGTGCTACTTTTGTATATTAGTCCTCCAAGACTTCATCCACAAGTGCCACGCTATACTAGGCAATTGCTGTTAATTTCATCTTCGTTTATCCATCATTAAGACTGTCCCTAAATCATCTGTAATTGGTAGAAATCATTTGTTAGCTGGTGATTGATAAGATTGCGGTTTCTTTTACTGGCCCAACTGGTCAGCCTGTCATAGTTATAGTAAGGCCTTTTCCTTTGCTCTGACTATTGGTCAAGGTGAGTATCATAACATCTTTCACAGCTCAAACTACTGTTCAGAATTAGTGGAAGCTATATAGCAAACATATAGACTAAACACTTACTATTGGAAAATTTACAGCTTCACCTTTAAACATGCTTTTTCTATTCACTGTCACCGATAATGAATGTGCTATTAAAAACGCATAAGCAAAAGGTTTACTGCTCTTATATTTATATATTTTTATAAACTACCCACTAACACAACATCATACTTGAAGCAGACTTGAGATTTACACATTGCGCCATCTAATGAGAAAATATATAACTTTACTCAATATCTCTCGCCCTAATAAATTAATGTTCTGGCAAGAAAACATTATTAGAAAAACGTAATATAATTGGCTGTTAATATATATATATATGTATGTAATACCAGGGCAGGAGCCATTGCTAACACCTGGTTTTATTTAGTATTTTAATACTTTTTTATTCAACTATTTCGAGGCTGTAATTATAATGTAATTTTGGTAAGCTTCTATTACAAAATTTTAAAGATCATGCTTCATATTAGATTGCCTTCAACTTTTAATGGTGCCTGTCGATTTAATAGATTACTTTTCTCTTTAATCCAAACTCTATTCGCTTTACCAGACGCACTGTACCTCTCCCCCCTCATACGTTTATAAAGAAAGTAAAATTAACGGCTATCTCACTTGGTATCTATTACCATTTCTTAAACCACATCAGTAGCCAAAGAGAGTCTATCTACGAAAAGTACAAGCATCCATGGGCATCGGTGGGGGAACTCCCCCCCCTGGAAAATTACAAACGTAACTTTTTGTTCATTCAGTCAGCATATGAATATTTTTTACTCACTTCACAATTCCACATTACTCTGCCCCACCCCCTCCCCGGCAAAATTTCTGCGGACGTCCATGCACGCAGAACTTTCTATAAATTCTCACGTCAAATGTCAGGGAAGTAATAGTGAGCGAAAGAATTCCTTGCGTGTTATATTAAGGTAGAACGAAAATAAAGAGAGATTAAACTGTGGGGGAAAAAACTGACTCAATTACAGTTGTGCAAGGCACGGCATGACACAAAGAGAGGCAGGTATACGGATTCAAACCTTTGTAATTACGCTATGCGCAAGAAAGCACGCAACACAAAATATCGGGAATGATATATTTATACATATTGTTCTGCGGTATTCAGTCTTTAATATTTTCAATTTGCCACGCACTTTGTGTGACACGTGGTCTAAATAGCCAGTTCGTAGACCCCTAAAATTAGAGCACAGCCATCCTCAATTCAGAATTGCTAACCAGAGAGAAATGGTAGCCAGTCAGCATCACTCGCCGCATTTACCGCTACTTTTTTTAAAATTCTGAAATTAACTGTTGAAAGATTTTATAACGATATAGCGCATTTCCAGCCTCGGACCCTCCAATCTACAGCCCGAAACGCTAGCAACTAGGCCTGGTTCAACACAATGAAGAATAGGAAGCATTGAAAACGTTCTTCACTTTAATGGTACTTACATTTCTATCATAATATTTCTCAACTAATAACTCACATCCCTGTCATGACGCTGTCATAATATTTATATCTACTGGAACCGCAATAATGTAACAATGTACCTCTCAACTAATAACTCACACCCCTGTCATGACGCTGTCATAATATTTATATTTACTGGAACCGCAATAATGTAACAATGTTCCTCTCAACTAATAACTCACACCCCTGTCATGACGCTGTCATAATATTTATATCTACTGGAACCGCAATAATGTAACAATGTTCCTCTCTACTGGAACCTACATTCCTTGTCATATATTTATATCTACTGGAACCGCAATAATGTAACAATGTTCCTCTCTACTGGAACCTACATTCCTTGTCATAGTATTTATATCTACTGGAACCGCAATAATGTAACAATGTTCCTCTCTACTGGAACCTACATTCCCTGTCATAATATTTATATCTACTGGAACCGCAATAATGTAACAATGTTCCTCTCTACTGGAACCTACATTCCCTGTCATAATATTTATATCTACTAGAACCGCAATAATGTAACAATGTTCCTCTCTACTGGAACCTACATTCCCTGTCATAATATTTATATCTACTGGAACCACAATAATGTAACAATGTTCCTCTCTACTGGAACCTACATTCCTTGTCATAGTATTTATATCTACTGGAACCGCAATAATGTAACAATGTTCCTCTCTACTAGAACCTACATTTCCTGTCATAATATTTATATCTACTGGAACCGCAATAATGTAACAGTGTTCCTCTCTACTAGAACCTACATTCCCTGTCATAATATTTATATCTACTGGAACCGGAATAATGTAACAATGTTCCTCTCTACTGGAACCTATGTTCCTTGTCATAATATTTCTCTCTGCTGGTACTCTACATGGCTGTCATAATGTTTATCTGAAATACCTATCCAGGTATTTATAATTGTGTTAAGGTGACCTTTCCCACAAACCACTGTAGCTGAAATACCTTTATACTAGTTTATTAAGTGACCTTTAAACCAAATCACCACATCTGAAACATTTGTATACTAGTGTCTTAAGGTGACCTTTCACATAAGCCATAAGAACTGAAATATTTTAAATAAACAACGGTATAAAATTTGATATTATCTATTTTCTTTTTTTACAAATTTCCAAATAATGGCACTTCGTTTTTAAAATCAACTTTAATGCAACTGAGATAACAATGACTTTGGATTTTTTTCTTTCCTTAAATACGACTGAAAATAGTTTGAAATAGAGATATCGTCTTATTTTGAAGAAAGGAGAGTACAAAGTCGAGCCAATACAAACCCAGTTTTTTCCAAGATAAAAATAACTAAGCTATTGAACAAACTTCATCAGACTGTAGTTATATAACGAGTCATAATTTCTGAGGAAAGAGGAACTTTTCTATTTCGCTCATCAAGAGTTACATGTTTGTTGCTTATAATTTATTGGTTACCTATAAATGTAGAAGTTTGAACTCAGTTTTACAAGGGAAGTGAAGATAGCTTTGGTGTTTAAACTGTACTTATAACTTGGATTTACAAAGGAAATTATGATAGTTTTTGTATTTACACCATATTTATAACACGGATTTACAAAGGAAATTATGATAGTTTTTGTATTTACACCATATTTATAACACGGATTTATATAGGAAGTGAAGATAGTTTTGATTTTTAAACCATAATTATAAGTTGGATTTATATAGGAAGTGGAGATACTCTTGGTGTTTAAACCATAATTATAAGTTGGATTTATATAAGAAGTGGAGATAGTCTTGGTGTTTAAACCATAATTATAAATTGGCTTTATATATGGAGTGAAGATACTCTTGGTGTTTAAACCATAATTATAAGTTGGATTTATATATGGAGTGAAGATACTCTTGGTGTTTAAACCATAATTATAAGTTGGATTTATATAGGAAGTGAAGATACTCTTGGTGTTTAAACCATAATTATAACTTGGATTTATATAGGAAGTGAAGATACTCTTGGTGTTTAAACCATAATTATAAGTTGGATGTATATAGGGAGTGAAGATACTCTTGGTGTTTAAACCATAATTATAAGTTGGATTTATATAGGAAGTGAAGATACTCTTGGTGTTTAAACCATAATTATAAGTTGGATTTATATAAGAAGTGAAGATAGTCTTTATGTTTATATCACACTTATAATTTGGATTCGTGAATCAAAATGAAATGAAAACAATCAATCTGTATATCACGAAGTTCTAATTGGTTTACTTTATGTGTGTGTATATATTACTTGGTTAAGGCACAGACTCTAGTGAAAACTACAACCAAATCCTCGTCAATGATCTCATCATTTAAAACTACTATTTGTCTGATTGAGTTAGTTATTTTGTACGTCTCTTCTAACGGCGCGTTACTATTTTTTCACTTATAAATTCTTATTTATTCAAAAAACACTAGTTTTATAGTAAGCATACTATAACGAATTTTTGTACTTTTTAGATGGTGTTCCTGATGTGGATACTTATTAGTTTTCTGCTGTGTTTCTTGGATTACGTGTCTACTTCAGCCCTGCCTTGCACTTTCAATCCACTCTGCACATGTGTCGCTAGGCAACAAGAAATCAGCTGTGTGAGTGTGCCATTCCTAACGCTTCCAAAGCTTCCATTTAAAGAAGTCTATCAGTTCACATTTGCACGAACTGGACTTCAGGTGCTAAACAATAACTCACTAGATAGCACTGCTGTGTCTTCTCTTAGATTAATGTACAATGATTTAGTAACTCTACCAATTCACGCATTCCACACATCAGAGCATCTTCTGACCTCGTTAGATGTGAGTTATAATCAACTTGATGAGTTTCCATCTAAAGCAATTAGAAAACTCTCTTACCTTCAATGGTTAAATTTACACTTTAATAAAGTGGAGGAACTCAGGCGAGAAGCTTTCGAAAAACTTTGGTCACGTTCTTCTCTGCGTAGCATATTTTTAAGCAACAACCATATTTCATTTATTGAAGATGGTGTTTTTAGAAGTCTTTGGAACCTCTCGTCACTGGATCTTTCCAACAATCATATTAGCAAGCTAGAAGGTCATCCTTTTCCAAGTTCTTTGGCAACGTTATCTTTATCTGGAAATCTTCTGGACTGGATTCCTCCAGATGCTCTTTCTAATCTCGGAAATCTGAGAAGACTTCACCTGGGTAGTAATCTCTTTTCGTCTCTTCCCTGGAACTGGAAGTTATCCATAAGCCATCTGGAAAAATTAGATTTCAGTCACAATCTTCTGACAAAAATAAATAGCAAGGTTTTTAATGGAACCTTTTCTGTACACGAACTTAGCCTAAGTTATAACTATCTTAGAGTTATACCGATGAGAGTTTTTCGAGAAATTACTATACGCCGGTTATCTCTAGCAAACAACCGACTGTCTTCCATATCCGTTGGAGCTTTTGAAGGTTTAGAATCCATTCTGGTTGCATTAGACTTGAGCTTCAACATGTTGAAAACATTTCCCAAAGCATTAAAAGAACTGAACCAACTTCAGCAACTGTACTTGCGCGGGAACCAGATTCAAGAACTGGAGAAGTACGACTTATATGCGTGTCGTGAACACTTGGAAACCTTAGATCTCTCAAGAAACTTTCTCATGAATGTTCCGAGAGCAACTTTGTTAACTTCCAAAACAGTGCTGCATTTAAGTCTGCAAGATAATCAGATTAAAAAAATCTATGCAAATGATTTTTATGGTTGGGGAGGTACTCTGCTATTTTTGAGCTTAGCTAACAACGGTATTAATTTCATCTCAGAAGACGCTTTTCTTCACACGCCGGCACTAAAAGAATTGAAACTTTCTTATAATAATCTCGTTAACGTTGATTCCAGACTTCTACTTCCCCTTAGACACTCATTGAAAGGCGTAGAACTAGGATCACTTTTTGAAACTAACCTCGATCCTCCCGAATTGATGGTGAAGTTCTTAAATAGAATGGAATGGCTTCAAATGGATCACAACAAGATTTCGGTGTTGTCTTCAACGTTCCTCTTAGGCTTAACGAACCTAGTTCACTGTGACTTAGAAGGCAACGGCGTAAAGTTAATTCCACAAAACTTATTCAGAAAGGAGGTTCATATTAATTTAACTAACATAATCGTGTCTCATAACGAACTGATTGTAACAAATCCGCAAACCTTCGAGAAACTTCCACGGCTCCGAAACGTTGTCTTACTAGGCAACCGGCTGCAGATTGTTCGATACAAATCGTTCACAAGCTGCCCTATATTAAATTCCATTGTCTTATCCCATAACCAGATACGTACAATTGAGCCTGCTGCTTTTCACAATCTGACGCTTCTATCCAGTGTATTTTTACAATTCAATAAATTATCGAGATTTTCTTTCAATATTTTCAGCCACGTAAGCAACTCAAACTTTCCGATGCACGTGAATGTTTCCAATAACCTAATCAATTCGTTAGTAATATCTCAGAGGAACGAAAGTAATCTTGGTGCTATTCACGTTCGAACTTTGGATCTTAGCCATAACAACATATCACAAATTCCTGATGGCTTTTTCCAACGCGTAGGGAGGTCTCTTCATTGCTTATTTATGTCGTTCAATAATCTGACTGTAGTTCCTTCAAACGTGTTCTCAGAGGCCATCAATCTTCAGATGATTCACTTGGATCACAATAACATCACAGTTGTTAAATCCACGGACTTTCAAGGCACACCACCTCTTCAGATTCTAACCTTAAGCTACAATAATATTTCCATAATTTCACCAGAGGCTTTTACGGCCCTACGAGAAATTAGGATTGTAGACTTGAGTTACAATAGAATTCAGACACTCCCGGAAAGTGCCTTTGTGGGTACAAAATTGGAAAGGATTAATCTGTCCCATAACGTAATTGTCCGTCCGCCTTTAAGGGGCTTCTTTCCTGTCAGGTATTCCTTGAGATTTATTGACGTTTCAGCAAATTATATTTCTGTGATTCAAACTGATGAGATCAATCCTTTGTATATGTTATATTCCTTAAACTTGTCCTGCAATAGGTTAACAGACCTAGCGGTAGGATCTCTTATGAACTTAACGCAACTCATTAACCTTGATTTTTCGCATAACCCTTTGCTGAGGCTTGATGGAGGACCATTATACCCACTTAGATCATTACGTTCGTTTAATTTAAAAAACACATCTTTATCTGACCTGTCGTTTTTTCCATTGTCGCGGTTGAAAACACTGACACTTGCACACAACCTGTTGAGAAATATCTCAAATTTCGCATTCCGCAATCTGCGACAGCTGCGACATCTAGACCTGTCTCGAAATCAAATACAGGAAGTTCCTCGCCATCTATGGATTTACGTGCCGGACCTTCACACCCTGGATATCTCCCATAATCCAATCGAAGTATTGGGAACAGTAAGTTTCAGTGGTTTAAAACGATTGGTACAGCTGGACATGCGCGGCTTAGCTCTGAAATATGTGGACTCTCGGACGTTATATGAACTCAGGTAAGAAAAACGTTCATGCAAGTAAAACGCTTACAGTTTTATTATGATAAATATGGCTCAACCTTTTCCTTGTGAACTTTATACAATTACTTGAACGCAAGTAAAAAAAAATCTAAAAATTCGAACATAAGTTATCAGCATGACTTATATCATCTAGTACATGTATACTGATTTTTGTTTTGTTTTTAGTTGTCTGTCCTTATACTTTTACTCGTAAAAATTATCGCAAGGTTAATAAACGAGTATAACCGACAGACTACTTTGAGAAAATATTGTACTATTGTTTGTTATGTGGATGATACGTCCTATAGTATGGTTTATTAAGAACTGTACTTGACCGGTTCGAGACTAATGAAAGATTTTGAAACAAGCACCCATTTTTATATTTCTTTGGGTAACTTAGTAAAACATAATTATCATTTTTATGACGTGACACCAATGAAATTTTTCAATAATTATTTCCCTATCATATACACGAATATATATAGACAAGCCACTTCAGCTTATACTTCTCTAAAAAAGCGACCCCTCCTAGTGACTCAACGGTAAGTATGTAGACACTAAAATTTGGGTTTCGATACCCGTGGTGTGCAGAACAAAGATATCCCATTGTGTAGCTTTCCATTTAACAAAAACCAAAAACAAATCAAATTATCAAAAAAGCATATTAAAGTTTATAGTTTCAACCTGAATGGCACCATATGAACAGTCATGTCTGACGCCCTAACATGTTTGTTTCTGTTTCCCAAAAAAGAAAGCTTTTCGGAAATATAGAAACTTTAAAAATTTACTTGCAACCATTGTCGTAGGGTCCAGCATGGCGAGGTGGTTAGGGCGCTCGACTCGCAATCTGCGGGTCGCGGGTTCAAATCCCCGTCACACCAAACATGCTCGCCCTTTCACCCGGGGGTGCGTTATAATGTGACGGTCAATCCCACTATTTGTTGGTAAATGAGTAAGTCAAGAATTGGCGGTGGGTGGTGATGACTAGCTGCCTTCCCTCTAGTCTTACATTGCTAAATTAGGGACGGCTAGCGCAGATAGCCCTCGTGTAGCTTTACGCGAAATTCAAACCACACCAAACCTAATTTAAAAATCGTAAACTCTGAGCATGGTTTCAGTTGAAAACGATATTGATTTAAAGATAAATTACAATGGCTATTCGAATTTTAACCTCTATAGATAGCTAATGTGGACTTGATAAGTTTTACTGTTGCTCTAAACGTGTAGATATGTGATATAAAGCAGTGTTTCCCAAAGTGGGAGCCGTGAAGCTTTTTCTGTTGGGGGGGGGGGCAAAAATGGGACGAAAACAAAGATGCTGAATTGATTTTAATTCTAAATAAACAATAAGCCGATTAAAAATTATGTTGAATTAATTAAATCATACAGTATGGTGAAAGGAGATGATATTGCTTTTACTACGGCACTGTTCTTCAATCGTCATGCTAAAGTAGTAGGGGGGGGGGACAACCACGTCAGTCGGTCGCAAGACTCGAGAGAGTGCTGACTGAATGTATTCACGCTCAAGCACCTATAACGTAAGCGTAAGACAGGTCAGTCTACATTTGCTATACTTTTCGTAAAATGTTAATAAGAGTGTTGAAAGTAGGTCGGTACGACGTACCAGTATGATATATTTGGAATTTTGTGATATTTTTTTTTCAATTACAATGCGACACACGAAACAAATCTCCAGTTGTTGTTTTTTTTTCGATAGATTTGCAAAAACATAATTTAATAGAAAAATTACTTCAAAGATATCATTAAAATCCATTAGTAATTATTTTTCGAAACTGATAAATCACATTTTAAGGTATTTTTATAAGTTGGGGGGGGGGGGGCTCAGACTGTTTTATTCACATCAAGGCAGCCTCAGACTAAAAGATTTGGGGATCCACTGATATAAAGAATTGAAGACCTGTATTTTGTTTGTTTGTTTGAATTTATGCACAAAGCTACACTATGGGCTATCTGTGCTCTGCCCACCACGGGTATCGAAACCCGATTTCTAGCGTTGTAAGTCCGCAGACATACCGCTGTGCTACTGGGGGGCTGTATTTTGTTAATTGTAATGTTGTTATCAAGCCAGCTAGAAGCAGTTGGTGAGGGAAAGGATGGGGGGAGTAAAAGAGTCATTTCTACAGACTAACTAGAATCGGTCCTGATTAAGACTATAAAAAAGTCTTAAAGGTTTTTTTAAACTAAAAGTAGATTTTAACATCCATTTTACCTTTCTGATAATGTCGTAACATTATAAAGTAGATTGCGTTCGCTTTCTTCTTCAAATGTTTGTAGTTGGTGTTTGTTTATTTTTTCACCTAACTTAACAAGTTTAATCAATCAATGACTCGTTTGATTGTTTGTTTTTGTATTTCGCGCAAAGCTACACGAGGGCTATCTTCGCTAGCCGTCCCTAATTTAGC